CTGTAGTCCCAGCTACCTGGGAGGCTGAGGCAGGAGGATCACAGCTTCAGGCTTGAGACTAGAAATTTGAGGCTGCAGTGAGCTATGATGATGCCACTACGCTCCAGCCTGGGTGACAGAGCGAGACCCTGTCTCAATAAATAAATAAAACAAAAAATAATTGTTTATACATCTGGATACTTAAAATATAGGAGTTCTGACACCTCACAGAGGCTTTCCGTGGCCACTGTATTAATTAAGTTATATTTGCTTGGTTATTTATTTATGAGGGTCTCACTCTTGTAAATAGAGTGAGAGTGTAGTGGCATCATCATAACTCAGTTTAACCTCAAGTTCCTGGGCTCAAGCGATCCTCTTGCCTCGGCCTCCCCAAAGTGCTGGGACTGCAGGTGTGAGCCAACATGAGCAAACTCTTCATGTCTCTTGCTCTCTCCCTTGCCAGGCCAAGGGACAGTTTAAGAAGCAGTCAGTGGCCAACGGTGTGGAGATATCTGTGCCTGTCCCCAGCGATGCAGACTCCCCGCGCTTCAAGACCAGCGTGGGCAGCGCCAAGTACATGCCGGAGAAGAATGTCGTTATTTGGAGTATTAAATCGTTCCCGGTGAGCACTGGAGACAGGGGCGACCTGGGAGTGGGGGCTGGAGTGGTGTGGGCGCTGCCCAGGCTGCATGGGGCCAAGTTGGAGAATAAGTCAGAGACCTCCACACTCGTGCACACGGTTATTCTTTGGGAGTGACAAAGGTGGGAGCCAGGCCAGTCTATGTCACAGATGGGCAAAGTGGGGCTTCATGATGGGAAGTGGGTTAAGTGCCTCCCCCCTTGGCCGGGTGCGGTGGCTCACGCCTATAATCCTAGCACTCTGGGAGGCCGAGGCGGGAGGATCGCTTGAGCTCAGGAGTTTGAGACCAGCATGAGCAAGAGCAAGAGCAAGACCCCATCTCTACTAAAAAAAAAAATAGAAAGAAATTAGCTGGACAACTAAAAAATACATAGAAAATAATAGCCGGGCATGGTGGCGCACACCTGTAGTCCCAGCTACTCAGGAGGCTGAAGCAGGAGGATGGCTTGAGCCCAGGAGTATGAGGTTGCTGTGAGCTAGGCTGACACCATGGCACTGTAGCCTAGGTGACAGAGGAAGACTGTCTCAAAAAAAAAAAAAAAAATTTAAAAAAAGTGCCTCCCTGCTTAGGGTCTTAAGGAAACCAACCCTGGGTTCAGATTCCTCACCCTTGCCTTTCTGAGCTGCATGGGCTTGGGAGGCTCAGTTTGGCCATCTGTGAAATAGGCACGATCATGTTATCCATGTCCTTGGGCCACTGGAGGATTTAGTTTGTCCCTGTCATCTGGTGGGGCTGGGGGGGTTATTGGGGCCTGAGAAACAGGGAATGATAGACCCTGGCACCACCACTGATTGGGTTTTGTGGTCAAAAGCTTCTGCTGCGGCCGGGCGCTGTGGCTCACGCCTGTAATCCTAGCTCTTGGGAGGCCGAGGCGGGCGGATTGCTCAAGGTCAGGAGTTCAAAACCAGCCTGAGCGAGACCCCGTCTCTACTATAAATAGAAACAAATTAATTGGCCAACTGATATATATATATAAAATTAGCCGGGCATGGTGGCGCATGCCTGTAGTCCCAGCTACTCGGGAGGCTGAGGCAGAAGGATCACTCGAGCCCAGGAGTTTGAGGTTGCTGTGAGCTAGGCTGACGCCACGGCACTCACTCTAGCCCGGGCAACAAAGCGAGACTCTGTCTCAAAAAAAAAAAAAAAAAAAAAGCTTCTGCTGTGAGTCTAAGCCAAGAGCCTTTACTTTCTTGTCTGTGAAATGGGCTGAGAGCAGAGCTTGCTCTGGGGCTGCTGTGAGGATGGTTTGGGGTGGGTAGGGGCCCCTGTGGTGTGTCTGATGCCCCCTTGTGCCTTCAGGGGGGCAAGGAGTACCTGATGCGAGCCCACTTTGGCCTCCCCAGCGTGGAGAAGGAGGAGGAGGAGGGACGGCCCCCCATCGGGGTCAAATTTGAGATCCCCTACTTCACTGTCTCCGGGATCCAGGTGAGGGAAGTGGGCAAAGTCTCTTCTCCTTGGCCACTCACTGCAGGTTCCCCTCTCTCTTGTCCCTTGGCTCAAGTCACCTCCGTTCCCTGGCCCGTGTCACCACCACTCTGAAGTCTCCCTTCAATGTCGCCTCTTTCTGCTTGCAGCCGGGGTCGGTCCCCTCCCCCTCTGGCCTGTGCCCCCCCATTCCCCAGCAGCTCGTTCACTTTCTCTCCCTCTCCCACCTGCAAGCCATTCACCATTCCCTTGTCTGTGCCACCTTGTCCTCCCCAAACTGTGTCACATCTCATTTCTTATACTATGCCATCTCTTTCCCCACTGTCCTGGACCACCTCCCCTCCCCCACTCACGCCATGTCACTCCATTACTCCCAGCCTGTGCCGTCTTACTCTCCTAAGTTGTGCCGCATATATTCCCTTGGCCAACGCCACCTCTTTCTCCCTGGCCCTGGTCACCTCAGTCCCGCAAGCCTGGACCACCTCTTCTCATTCCCTCCCAGGTCCGGTACATGAAGATCATTGAGAAAAGCGGTTACCAGGCCCTGCCCTGGGTTCGTTACATCACCCAGAGTGGCGGTAAGCCAGCTCCCTGAGATGACAGGGTCAAGGAGACGGAAGCGGGTGGGGACTTGGGGCTCTGACCACATTCTGGCTCAGGAAACTCAACAGGCCTGGCCCTCTTCGTCATGCCACCATGAGCCTTGGTTTGCACATCTTCAAAATGGGGGTACGGAGCAGGGTGCAGTGGCTCATGACTGTAATCATAACACTTTGGAAGGCTGAGGTGGGAGGATGGCTTGAGGTTGGGAGCTTGAGAGCAGCCTGAGCAAAAGTGAGACCCAGCCTCTATAAAAAATAGAAAAATTAGCCAGGCGTGGTGGCATGTGCCTGTAGTCCCAGCCACTTGGGAGGCTGAAGCTGGAGGATAGCTTGAGCCGGGCTGTGTGAGGCTGCAGTGAGCTATGATTGAGCCACTGCGGTCCAGCCCGGGTGACAGAGCAGGACCCTGTCTCTGAAAACAATTATTTGAAATTGAAAAATTAAAAAAAATAAAACAAGGGCAGTCACCAACTCTCGGGTGGCCGTGAGGTTTGGACAAGGGTCTGAACACACAGCACCGCCATCTGCTGCCTGGAAACGGGCTTGTTGCTATGGTTTCAGCACCTGTGTGCTCCCAAGGTCCGTCATGAGCCCTGCGGTGGCGGCGGGGAGTGGATTTGGGGGGGCTGTCCCTCTTTCCCCACCCCTCACTTCTGAGATGCTGCCTGCTCATCATTTGCCTGCAGATTATCAACTTCGAACCAGCTAGAAGCGAGAAGAGGCGGGGGCTTGAACGTGGGGCTTCCTTCCACCAAGGCCCCGCTGCAGATTGTGGCGAGGGAGAGAAGGTGGGGGGGGGTGTGTGTGTGTGCGAGGGCAGGTCCCTGACTTAGCAGTTTCTCACCCCCAGCACCTGCCCCTTCTCGACTCTTCCTTTATCTGTAGCCTGGGAGGGATGGTCTCTCTGCCTCCCTCCCCCCTGATTTTATATGAAGAAATCCAAGAGGGGCTTGAAGGCCCCCTCGTGAGTGCCTTCTTACAGTGACCTGCCTTAAGGGGTGTCAGGGGTCCCTCCTCCTTCACAGCTGCTGAGCCCAGAGGGCCCTGCTGGCCCACTCCTCTGAGTTTTAGGATGTCATTAAAAAGATGAATTACCTGCCGTGTATGTGCTTCTTGGCTGGGGACCGGGGCTGCCAGGGACATCCCTGCAGTGCTGGGATGGGAGTGGCCATTCGCATCCATTCTCAGCCCCAGCCATCACTCACCTGGGCCAGGGCTGCCACCTCCACCCTGGTCCCCTGTTCCCCCCTTTAGCAGACACGGGGCTCCTGTTAACTTCTAAGCTGGATCATGGCTCAGAACCCTTCCGTGGTTCCCACTTTGTTAAAGCCAAGTTCTCGTGGAGGCCTCGGGGCTGATCTGCACAATGACACCCCCCCCTCCACCTTTTCTCCCCTCCTCTCATCCTCCCCTTCTGTACCACACCAGGCAAGCAGTCACCAGTTTCCACCTGGCCTGCTTTTCCCCAGATATCCACAAGGTTCCCTCCTTTCAGGTCCCCAGTCAAATGTCACCTCCTCAGAGAGGCCCTGTCTGACCCTCCTATTTCAATGGCTTTCCTTTCCCAAGGGCCTTTCACTTAGCCTGTTTTATCAGCTCCATAGCGTTAATTATTGTCCCCCACGCCTGACTGCAGGTGTCCTGCAGCAGGGGCCGCCTGGCCGGCTCTCCAGTTGGGCCCCTCCACGAGGTGCTCAGGCAATGTTCGAGCGAGGCCTCTGGAGCCACCTCTGGCCCACGTGGCGGCTGCAGGGTCCACCTTCCTGCTCGCCAGGGCTGGCTCGGTGGGAGCCGGGAAGAGTGATTCCTTCCTCACCCATCCTGTTTCCCCCTTTTTCTTTCCTTCCTGGTGCTTAACGCTACCTACAATTCCCCAGTGGTTGCACGTGCGCTCCCGGCGCCCAGGTCGGCCCGCGCACGGAGGGTGCAGGGATGAAACGCGGCGCCGCGCGGGGTGAGGGCTGCCGAATGCTCACCGCGGGGCGCAACGGTGGAACCCCGGCCCGGGCGGCTCCAGCCCTGCCTCCCACCCCCCGGGGGCGCCCCGGTCCCGGAGCAGCCCGCGCTACTCCGCTCCCGACCTTTGTCCCTCAGGTCAGTTAAACCGGCCCTCTTTCCCGCCCGCCCAGCGCGTTTGAAAACCAAAAACCCCGCCATTGCCGGCGGTCCACCGGTCGCCGCGTCCTGGCCAATCAGGAGCGATACCGCCCACGCCCGAGCGCAAACCTCCCCAGCGACGCGCGGCCATTGGCTGCGGTTGCCGCGTGGGCGGGGCGCCGCAGGGTCGGGCGCCGGGCAACGCGGCTCCGCTACGTTGTAGCGAGTTTGTAAGAAAACAAATCGGCGGCGTTCGGGGCGGGGCCGCGGGCGCGCCGGCTCCGCCCCCTGGCGGCTGGCTCGGCGGCCGCAGCGGCGCAGGCTCAGAGCAGACTCCGCCCGCCGAGGAGGAGGGAGGGTGAGTTGGGGGGAGACCCGGCCCCCAAGGGGCGGGCGCCGGGGTGGGCCCCGCTGGCGGCCGAGGGCTGGGCCGCGGCTCCCAGTAGCTAGCCGGCCGCCGGCTGACAGGGGGAGGAGCCGGCTGGGAGGGCGGGGGTCGCGCCAGAGCCCCGGACTCGGCGAGCGGGCCGGGAGTGTAGCGCAGGCCGGACGCGCCGCGGCCGCGCCCCGGGAGGGCTGCTGGGGCCTGCGCCCGCCGTCTCCTCCGCACTGACCGGGCCGGGGTGGGGCTGGGGGCTTCGCAGGCCGCCGGTGTCGACATGCTGCTGGAGGAGGTCCGCGCCGGCGACCGGCTGAGCGGGGCTGCGGCCCGGGGCGACGTGCAGGAGGTGCGCCGCCTTCTGCACCGCGAGCTGGTGCACCCCGACGCCCTGAACCGCTTCGGCAAGACCGCGCTGCAGGTGAGGCCCCGCCGGCCCGCGGCCAGGAGGGGGCGGGGGAGCGGTGCGAGTGTCGAGACCCCGACCCCCTTCCCTGTCGTCTCCTGGCTCCGGTGGTGACCCCCTGGGGGCCAGTCCTTTCTCTGGGCTGATGTTCCCCAAGGGCCCCCTTTGTAGGTGGGTGGTGGGTGAGGTGAGGTGGGGGGAGGGGAGAGCTTTCCACCTTCTCCGGACGATTCCTTGTTCTCACGTGGGGGATTCACTTTCCCTGGGGAGCTTCTTATTCGGTAGGTGGGATTTAGCGTTTTTGGATCCCGTTTCCATGGGGACGGCTCAGGTTTCTTGCGGCTTCTATGGGGAGATCCAATCTCTGGAAAGAAGGATTCATGTCTCCCTTGGGGCCCCCATTTTCTAGGGGGTTCTCTGAGAGGTATCCAGTTATTTGGGGGAGGGGTTTCTTCACTCCTAGGGTTGTAGGGATTCTTAGTATGTTGTGGGGGCCACAGTGGCGCAATGCTGTCACATTCCATGAGGCCCCTATTCTCTGGGGGGGCATTTTACAGGGGAACCCCATGTCTTGAGTGTGGCTCAGGTACCCCTTGCAAACATCCCCATTATACAGGAGGCAGAGGGGAGTTTCAAATTCCCTGGGGATCATCTTGCCCTTGAGGGGTCTGCTGAGTTCTTTGGGGGTAGTTCTCAGTCTGTGGGGGCCCCATTTCCTGGACGGGGTTTCGTATGAGGGTCTTAGGTTCCTGGAATGTTTTCATGGGGGCTACTCTCTGGGATGGGGTCCCATCTTATTCTTAAAGGGGTGACTAGCTTCTTAGGGTCCCTATTCTCAGAACTTGTTCTCTGGGATCTCAAACAGCTTTCTGTGGACTTATTTCCCCTGGGGCTTCTCGAGTCTTTAAGAGGACCCTTTCTCCAGCGGCCACTGTGCCTGGAAGATGCCTTTCTCTTCTCTCTCCAGTGAGCCCCCCTTTTTTAAAATCTCTTCCCTTGGGGACCTCCTGACCCTCTGTCCCCCACACAGGTCATGATGTTTGGCAGCACCACCATCGCCCTGGAGCTGCTGAAGCAAGGTGCCAGCCCCAACGTCCAGGACATCTCTGGTACCAGTCCAGTCCATGATGCAGCCCGTACTGGATTCTTGGACACCCTGAAGGTCCTAGTGGAGCATGGCGCCGATGTCAACGCACCCGATGGCACTGGGGCACTCCCCATCCATCTCGCGGTGCGGGAGGGCCACGCCGCTGTGGTCGGCTTTTTGGCAGCTGAATCTGATCTCCATCACAGGGACGCCAGGGGGCTGACACCCCTGGAGCTGGCGCGGCAGAGGGGGGCTCAGGGCCTCATGGACATCCTGCAGGGGCACATGGTGGCTCCGCTGTGACCTGGGGCCACCCTTTCCAGCAAGAGAACCCTGCTGGGTTAAAAATCAGAAGAGGAGAGAAGAAACACTTTCTCTTCTCACTCCTCTTCCCGGAGGGGGGAGGAGCACCCGTTTGTGGCTTTATTGGTGTTGATTTCTGGGGTGCGTGTGTTTGGGGGACGTTTCTCGTTTGTTTTTCTCACCCCTTTCAGTGTGTTGGACAGAGAAGGGCTCCTGCAGGCAACAGCTGCCTAAACGGTTCGGTTTCCTATGCGCCCCAGCCTGCTGGGGCCACAGACAGGGCCCATGGGCAGACCTTTTAAAGCCTTAGCCCCATATTAAGGTCATTGTCTCCAGAGCTCCTGGAACCTGGCGACCTGGGGCTGTGCTCAGAGTGACCTGAAGTGTGCGCACTGCTTCGGGCATGGGGGTGGGGGGAGTGGTTCCAAATCCATAAGAGGGTAGCATGAGTTCATTCATATTTTGTTGGAAGCTTTTTCTCCAGTCTCTTGTACAGCGTTTTAAAAGAAATAGATTCTATTTATTATGCTTTGTGGAAAAGTTGTTGCGTGTGATAATTTAATGTTTTTACCCATTAAATTAAGACTTGTGCCTGATCAGAGCGCGGTGGCTGCCGATTTTTGAGTCTGGGATGGGAAGCGGCTCCTCCAGGATGGATGTTGGTGGGAATGAGCACGCGGGCCGCGGATCGTGGATGCTGTGGGGGAGGGGAGAGAGTGGCTATTCCCAGGGCGCCAGGGTGAGTGAGCTGGGTGGGGCAGCGGTTTGCGCCGTCGGAACGGAAGGGAGGCAGGAAACCGCGAGTGGAGAAAGGGCCCCCAGATGTCAGCTGGGTGCCAGGAGCTGCGGGGGTGGGGCGGGTGGGCGGTGGCCGCGGCCTTCCCCGCAGGGGCGTGACGCGTGGGCGGGGACACTGCTTTCGCAAAGCGAACGGGATCCCGGAAAAGTCAGAGGCGGGGCTAGCGTTGGCCCTGCCCCCTTTAAAAGCCCGGGGTGGGCGGGACCCGGCTCAGCCCCTCCCATTTCAAGGGCACCCTCCGCGCGCCTGCGCAGTGGGCCGCAGAGCCGCCATGCCGGAGCCGCGCGCTGCGTCGCCGCTGCGGGTGAACTCGGCGTTCGCCGCGCGGTACGGCCGCTACCGGGAGCGCGAGGAGCTGCAGCGCCGTGAGTGCGGGGCGCATGCGCGAGGGCGCCGGCACGGGTAGGGCCGTCGGGAAGTGGGGGTTGATCTGGTCCCTCAGGCTGACCTGCTGTGGCTGGGGGGGGTCCCGTCTGTGCCCTACAGTGAAGGATCGCTACGGGGACCGGGACAGCGGCGACGACTCCAGCTCCGAGTCTGACTCAAGCGACGAGCGCGTGGTGCGCTTCCCTGTCCCCGGCCCGGACGTGCCTAGGCGTCCAAGTCCCCCACTGCACCCCGACCTGATGTACCCGGGCGGCTAACTCCCACCCCCCGGGCGCCCCAAGGGAGCGTCCGATCCCCGCCCCCCCAATCCCTTGAGTGACTGACAGCGCCCTCCAGATCCCCAGGGATGGCCCCAAACCCCTACGTTCCCTCCTCTGCCACGGATCCACGTGCCCATCTGCTGTGTGGGGCGACCCTCAGCCCCCAGGAGCTCCCCAATCCTCCCTCCCTCATTCCCGAGAGTCTAACCGCTTTTCCGTGTACTCCTCCTTGTGCCACGTGGGGCGCCCAACTTCTTTCCACATCTGCCCTGATGTTCTGCCCTGCCCCACTGTCTTCCACGTGCCCTCCCCACCCACCTGTCCCTTGACAGTCCCTTGTCTTGCCCCCTTCTTTCCTCTGCCATATCCGGTACCAACCTGTGGCCCGCCCCTGCCCACCCCCAGGAGGACAGCTCCTCCTCCTGCTGTCTGACCACCTGCCTTCCTGCAGGGGCGTTGCTGATCGCCACACCCCTTCAGACACCTGCCCTGGTCCCCAGCACCCACCAGGGCTCTTACTGTCTCCCCTTCTAAAATCTGTCCCCACTCCTTTTCCTGCCCTAGGAATTTGACCCCCAGCAAGAGCGTGACTTTTACAGGACACTCTCCTTGTTGAAGAAGAAGGATCCCCGAATTTATCAGAAAGATGCCACCTTCTATCAGAGAACAGGTCTGGGGCTACTCCTCCCTGCGCCTCACCTCCCTCGTGCCTTATGAGTTGTCGTGACAATGACAAGTGCTTAGTGGAGCATCTTAGGTTATTACTTGGTGGGAGGTTAATAAGGACTGTGTGGCTGGGTGCTGTAGTCCCACCTACTTAGGAGGCTGAGACGGGAGGATCACTGGAGCCTAGGAGTTGGAGGCTGCAGTCAGCTGTGATTGTGCCACTGTGTTCCAGCCTGGGTGACAGAAGGAGACCTGTCTCAAAAAAGAAAAAAAAGGACCATGTGCTTGGCACCATTCAGAGCAGGAATTGCTCGCTGAATGATCGCAAGCCACCGGGTGGTGGCAAGTGTGGTACCTGTTAGAACACTGGGAATTGGCGGATTGGGCGTTTGAAACCTCTGTCTGACCTGGGCCCGGCCCGTGAGAATATCTGGCGAGGCAGGAGGGTGATGGCAAGTATCTTCCGGTGGCCTTACAGCGTCCTCATCAGAGAGCGAGGAGGAGCCAGCAGCCTCGGAGACCCGGAAGAGAGCGCGGCCCATGTACTTGAAGGACTACGAGAGGAAGGTCATCCTGGAGAAGGAAGGGTACGGAGAAAGCCCGCCCCACCCTCTGGCCCCCAGCCTTCCCGGCACAAGGGGCTTGGGGGGCAGAGGCAGAAAAAAACCAGTAACTCCACAGAATTGAGGGACCCCTTATTTATTTATTCTGTACCCCTGTGCCCACCCAGGCTGGCATACGGTGGCATGATCATAGCTCACGGTAACCTCAAACTCCTGGCCTCAAATGATCCTCCTGCCTCAGCCTCCCAAAGTGCTGGGATTACAGGCATTAGCAGCCGCACCCAGCTGAGGGAACCCTTCAAAGCAGGGGCCTCAGTGACCCCACAATCCCCCAGCCCCGTGGGGACAGGTGAGCCAGGGACAGTGTGTTCTAAGGATTCCTTCCTTCCCTGCACAGCAAATATGTTGACGAGGAGAACTCCGACTCGGAGACTTCTGATCAGAGATTCCAGGTGGGTGGGGTGGAGGCTGGGTGGGGGGCTGAGGGGCCCCGGGCTGGCCTTAGGCCCACGTCACTCTCTCTTCTGCAGCAAACCTCGTCTCAGAGTTACGTGGAAGAACAGAAACAGCTTAAGGATGGGTAAGGCTGGGCTCTGTCACTTGCTTTCTCCATGCCTCAGTTTTCTCATCTGTTAAATGGAGCTAATAATGTCCTAGCATTGGTCTGAGCTTGTTGGGAGGAACACTCAGGGCTTAGTAAACAGGGTTGATCTGGGGGCAGCGGGCGGTGGCCAGCCTGCCTGTCCTGAGTCTCGTTTCCTGGCATGGGCAGCTTCCGGGCCTTCGTGGAGGACAGTGAGGATGAGGACAGCGCTGGGGAGGGTGGCTCCGGGCTGCTGCAGAAACGTGCTAAAACCAGGGAGGAGAAGGTGGGTGCTAGGGCCTGGCCGGACTGGTGGGGTGGGGGGTGGCAGGTGGCTGGGGGTCCCACAGACCCTCAGCGCTGGCCCTCCCCCAGGCGCAGGAGGAAGCTGACTACATGGAGTGGCTGAAGGGCCACAAAGAGCTTCAGAACCCTGAGTCCTTGGAGGAACTGGTGAGTTGTCCTGTCCCGTGTCGTTGCTCCCAGACTAACCTACCTCTTCGCCTCCATCCTCAGTTTCTACATCTCTAAAATGGGGATAACATATCTGCTCCAGAGGCTGGCTGTGTCCACTTGGTGTCCCCGCTCGCCCTCCTTCCCCATCTGCCAGCCCGTGACCTGGGTCCTGTCACCCCCTCAACCCCCTAGACCCATCTCAAGGAATACTGGAACGACCCAGAGCTGGAGGAGGGGGAGCGATTCCTGCGGGATTATATCCTCAACAAACGCTACGAGGAGGAGGGAGATGACGAGGAGGAGGAGGAAGATGAGGAAGAGGAGGAGGAGAAAGGGTGAGCCACCATGTCCCCCAAGGGCCTGGATCTCATGTCCCCTTCTTACGACATTCTCGGGCAGCCATTCTCGGCCAGCCATTCTCGGCCAGCGCTGGCCCAGAGGCAGAAGGCCTCGTGTGTTTGTGTTCTTCGCGCAGACGTTAGCAGAGTTAGTCTCCTGTGACCAGGAGCCACAGAGTGTGAGCTCTGGAGCCAGATGGCACTGGTTCAAATCCTGGCCCTGCTGTTAGACTTCATGCCTCAGTTTCCCTATCTGTAGAATGGGGAGAATGGCAGCACACACCTGCCGTAAAGCGTTCGTTGGAGGATGGGATGAGTTCTCGCGTCTGGTGGCCAGGCACGCAGGAGTGGGCGGCCGACCTAGCCGGGCTGCCCCCAGCCTCGCCCCGTCTCGTGCCCCAGGGACGCCCGCGTCCAGCTGGCTGTGGACGACTCCTCGGACGAGGGGGAGCTGTTCCTGAAGAAGCAGGAGGACTTTGAGCACAAGTACAACTTCCGCTTCGAGGAGCCCGACTCGGCCTCGGTGGGTGGCGGGGCCGGGGGACGGCCGGGTGCAGGCTGGCGGGGAGGGCCACGCCATCTCAGCGCCCTCCGGCTCCTCTGCTGCCCCAGGTCAAGACCTACCCGCGCAGCATCGCGTCCTCCGTGCGCCGCAAGGACGAGCGCAGGAAGGAGAAGAGGGAGCTGACCCGGGAGCGGAAGAAGAGGGTGAGTGTGGGGGGCTGGCTAGGGAGGGTCCCCCAGCCCGCCAGGAAGGCCCACACCCGCCCTCGCGCCGCCCGCCCCGCAGGAGAAAGCGAAGAAGCGGGAGGAGCTGAAGCAGCTGAAGAACCTGAAGGGGAAGGAGATCTTGGCCAAGCTGGAGAAGCTGCGCAAGGTCACGGGCAACGACACGCTGGGCTTCGAGGAGGGGGACCTCGAGGACGACTTTGACCCTGCCCGGCACGACCAGCTCATGCAGGTGCGTCCCCTCGCCCTGGCCCAGCCACGATGCTGAGCCCTCAGAGACGTGGCTCTGGAATCGGGCCATTTCTGGACTGTGTGGCCTCAGAGAAGTGGCTTGACCTCTCTGAGCCCCTTTCTTTCTGTGTAGCGGATCCATTTATAGCATCTACCTTAGGATTGTCCTAAGGAAAGATTGGGATGTAGCCGATTTCCATCTGAAAGTTTAGTTGGAGCCAAGCATGGTAGCTTCACGCCTGTAATTCCAGTGCTTTAGGAGGCTGAGTTGGGAGGATCTGGTGAGGCCAGAGTTCAAGACCAGCCTGGATAATATAGCAAAACCCTATCTGTACAAAAAATTTAAAAATTAGCCAGGCATGGTGGTGCTGCCTGTAGTCCCAGCTACTTGGAAGGCTGAGGCAGGAGGATCGCTTGAGCCGAGGAGTTGGAGGCTGCAGTGAGCTATGATCGGGCCACTGCTCTGCAGCCTGGGCGACAGAGAAAGACCCTGTCCCTATGGAAAACGGGGTGGGGGGGTGCAGTTGGTGTCATGGGGCTGAGCTCCCAGCTGTGACCACAGAAATGCTTCGGGGACGAGTACTACGGCGCCGCGGAGGAGGAGAAGCCGCAGTTCGAGGAAGAGGAAGGGCTTGAAGGTGAGCCCGGCCAGGCACCGGGCTGTAGGTGGGGGCTGGGCCTGTAGCCCAGGGTCCCACCCTGACCCGCCTGTCTGTCCTCTCTGGAACCAGATGACTGGAACTGGGACACGTGGGACGGGCCAGACCAAGATGGAGCCTGGAGCCGGCAGGAGCCGCACTGCGAGGACCCCGACTTCAATGTAGGGACCATGGGTTGGGGGATCCCAGGGGACCTCAGAGGGTCCCAGGGGCCCTGCGCAAAGGCTGGCCATATCTGACCCGCGTGTCCTGGCAGATGGACGCTGACTACGACCCCAGCCAGCAGCGGAAGAAGAAGCGCGAGGCCCCCTCCCTGGGCAAGAAGAAGCGCAAGTCGCCCTTCGCCACGGCCGTGGGGCAGGAAAAGCCGGTGTTTGACCCAGGTGAGGCCTGGGTGGGTGGCTGTGGGTGACCCGGCGTCCTCACAGGGCCTGGCACTCCCTAGCAGCCTGGCTCTGTCCTGTGCAGGGGACAAGACGTTCGAGGAGTACCTGGATGAGTATTACCGGCTGGACTACGAGGACATCATTGACGACCTGCCCTGTCGCTTCAAGTACCGCACTGTGGTGCCCTGCGACTTCGGGCTCAGCACCGAGGAGGTGGGGCCCTGGGGGGCAGGGGACACTGGGCGGCACCCTCCATGCAAGAGGAGGCAGAGAGCAGCTACTCGGGAGGCTGAGGCAGGAGGATGGCACGAGCCTAGGAGTTCGAGGCTGCAGTGAGCTGTGATCACGCCACTGCACTCCAGCCTGGGCGACAGTGCGAGACTCTGTCTCTTAAAACAAACAAAAAAACAATATTTCCCACCTCATGGCCATGAAGCAGAAACAAAATCAAACGTGTGTGGCTCTTTGAATGGTGCCTGGCAGGTCAGGAGCAGCCACTGTCTCTCAGCGATGACAGCTGAGGGTGACTGACTATTTTAACAGTCAGTAAAAAAAATTGGGCTAATACCAATCACATTCAGTCACTTAGTCCTCCTGACAACCTTCCAGTAGGTTCTGTGGGGCTGCCCACCTCGTAAGAGACTAGGAATGTGAGCCTTAGCTTGGTTTAACAAACAAGGCGGCTTGCAGAGACCCTGCTCGGCTCTGAGGCTTTGGGGAACGGCCGCGTACAGGTGAGGACACGAGGGCCTCGGGGCTCCACCCGGAAGCTGAAGTCAGCTGACTTCCCTCCGCGTGACCTCAGACAAGCATCCCTAGTCTGAGCCTCAGTTTCCTCATCTGGCGACCCCTGCAGAAAACACAGAGGGGCCTCCGCAGAAATCACTTTTCGCTGGCCATGGTGACAGCCCTGCTGGGTGGTCCTGGCATTACCCCGTTTTGACCCACGAGGTGACTAAGGCTCGGTGGCCGGCTGCCCGGGAGTCACCCTCCTTTCCCAACTCCCCATGTAGATTCTCGCTGCGGACGACAAGGAACTGAACCGGTGGTGCTCCCTGAAGAAGACCTGCATGTACAGGTGACGGGGCGGGGCTGGCTGCCCCAGGAGACGGGGCGGGCACCTCCCGGAGCACCTGGTGACGGGCGTGTCCTCGGGTGCCTGCAGGTCAGAGCAGGAGGAGCTGCAGGACAAGAGGGCGTACAGCCAGAAGGCCCAGAACTCCTGGAAAAAGCAGCAGATCTTCAAGTCCCTCTGCCCAGAGTGAGCATCGCTGGTGGGGGAGGGGGAGCCCGCCAGGCTGGGGTTCAGTCTTGCTGTGGCAGCCTCTGGTTATGTGACTTTGTCATAGGACCTTGAGAGAGCGTCCTCTCTCTGAGACCTGGGCCATAGCTGTGTGACCTTGCGCAAGTCCCTGCCCCTCTCTGGGCCTGTTGCTCACCTATAAGATAAGATGGAGGGAAAGATGGTTCTTGCTCACCAGGCTGTGGAGGCTGAGTTAGTTCCGGTAGAGATTAAGGCACAGTAAACACCCTCTGGGCCTCTGCTGTTATTACGACTGTTGTTTCCCAGGCTGTAAGGCAAGGGTGACAGAAGCTTACGAGCTGATGTAAAGCTAAATTGAGTTAATTTACATGAGTAGCTGAGTGTAGGTTCAGGCAGAAATACCAGAATTATCAGCACCACAATCCAGCCTTAAGATTCGGTAGAGAAGTCTTGGCTTTGGGCCGGGCGCAGTGGGTCATGTCTGTAATCCCAGCACTTCGGGAGGCTGAGGCAGGGAGGATCACTTGAGCCCAGGAGTTCGAGACCAGCCTGGGCAACACAGCCAGACCCTGTCTCTACAAAAAATAGAAAAAGTACCTGGGCGTGGTGGCATGTGCCTGTAGTCCCAACTACTGGTGCTGAGGCGTGAGGATCGCTTGAGCTGAGGAGTTGGAGGTTACAGTGAGCTATGATGGCGCCACTGCACTCCAGCCTGTGCAACAGAGTGAGACCCCAAGATCCGTCTCAAGAACACCCCCCCAAATAAACAAAATTAGCAAAAACAAACAAAAAAACAAAATAAATACCCTGGCTTTGGCATTACACCCGCGTTTGAATCCCAGGCAGGTGGCTGTGCCCCTCCTTCCTCATCTGTGGACCCTAATCATAACCAGCCTGGGCTGAGCTCTAACTTTTTCCCTCTAGGACAGAGACGCCCACAGAGGCCACAGGGAAGCCACAGAGAGACAAGGCTGTCCCTCGGGAGCAGCTGCCGGTGTCTGATGGGGCCTGCGGGAAGCGGCCCCGGCCCGAGAGCCCCCCAGCACAGGAAGAGGAGGCCCCCGTGTCACCCACCCAGAAGCCAGCCCCCCAAAGGCGGAAGAGGGGCAAGAAGGCACGGCTGCTGGGCCCCACGGTGACGCTCAGTGGGCGCGAGTTCAGCCGCCAGAGACTGCAGGCCTTCGGGCTCAACCCCAGACGGCTGCACTTCCGCCAGCTGGGCCGGCAGCAGAGGAAGCAGCAGAGGCCCAAGGGTGGCTCCTGAGCACCAGGGCCCCCGGCTCCTCCTTGCAAATCAAGCCCCGGGACGGATCCCCTTCCTAGCGATGAAGACCGTCTGCCATGTAGAACCTCACGTCTACCTTGGGCAAGCCAGTCAGCCCATCCTACAGATGTGGAAACTGAGGCCTACTTCACAAACTTACCCAAGCAACTTGGAAACCTCACCTTGAGACACCTCCTGGACCCCATGTCCCCTCAGAATGCTGAGTCCAGCCACAGTCACGTTCAAGTCAAACAGCTTTATTAGCCCCCGGTAGCCACAGTTCCCCTACGACAGGGGCTTTGGACCAGCCAGGGGCCCGGGCGGTCCAGTGCAAACTACAGTACTTGAGTCAGGCCCTGAGTGGGTGCCAGGGGTCCGCCCTCCCTCTCTGCCCTGCCAGGAGGGCCTGGCTGCTGGGAGGCAGGGGCACAGGCGCTGTCCCTGGCTGAATGGCCCCAGCCCGGTGGTCTCCTAGACGACTGGTTGCAGCTGGGCTTGTTGGGGGCCGAGAAGAGGAAATCCCACCACTGCCAGAGTTTGAGTGCCCACACCCACCATGACATAAATAAAAAAATAAATAGTGATGCATCTTTCCCCCATCCCCTCCTTTTATAAAAACACAAAGTCCTCGGAGCTCGGGCGTTTGGCCTTGAGGAGCCGCCCCGAGCGAGGGAGCCGCAGGGTCGGCTGGGAGAGCTGAGAGCAGAGGTCATCCAGGCTGTGGTCCTGAGCGTGGCCTTCGGCCAGGGTGAACATGGGGTACCGCTCTGTGGCTGAGGAGGAGCTGAGGACCTGGTGGGAGGAGGCCCAAACACAGGGAGCATGCTGCGTTAATCATCCTGCTAGGTATACTTAGCACCTACCTCTCCCAGGCAGGCCAGCCAATCACCTTCCATCCCCAGGTCACTGTGATTGGCTCAGTGGTAAGCATGTGACCCAAGCCAACCAATGAATGACAGCCCTGGGATTTTTGCTATAGTTACTGTAAAATTGGAGTCCTTTTTTCAATGAACTGGAAGGGTGGGTGCCCAGAGGTGCCGGAGGCCATCTCTTGCCACCACAAGGATAAAGCCCTGATTGGAGAGCAGAGCCAAGAGACAGACGGGTCCCACTACTTGAGCCCCTGGATGCAGCTATTCCCAAGGCACCAATGTCCCCAAGTTTTCAGTTACATGCCCCTTTTTTGGTCCAACCAGTTAGAGAAAGGCTTTTGGAAGCTTGTGTCCAAGATAACCTTGACTGAACAGTCAGCCTTGGCGTTCCCTCATGTTCTTGGAAGTGGCTATTATTCAAGTCATTTTCTAGATCATGACACACAGCCTGGAAGGAGCACCCCCACGCCTACTGGACTCCAGGCCTGTGTTCCTCTTTCACCCCCACCCTTGCCCTTGTCCCCCTCCTCTGTTCCTCTTGCTCACCCTGGTCAGCTCTGAGCAGAGAGTCTCAAACTCCTTCCTGCCTCCAGCATAGAAGCCCACAGTACAGCTCGGGTCCATCTTGGCGAAGGCCATCTTGCGGGGCGAGGTGCAGTGGAAGGACTGGGGCAGACAGGCGAGGGCGGCTCAGAGGCCCTGGCTCCCTCTCCCCACGCCCGCAGCCCCCCTGGCATCCCAGCTCACCTCTAGGGGGAAGTCAGCCTGGCTGACGTCCACAGTGGGCTGGCAGTAGTGGGGGTCCAGGTAGAGCAGGAAGTCATCTGCAGGGGGGGCAGGCGTGAGTGGGGGCAGGGAGGGAGGAGGAGTTGGGGAGGGGTGAGGCGGGACCTACCTTGGTAGCCAATGAAGTACAGCGAGTGCCTCGGTTTCCCACCCATGATGCCCAGGCACAGCTCCGAACGCAGGAGCTCCTGCAAGGACAGAGTGGGCGGAAGTGAGGCAGGCGCTCTCGGGCAACCCAGCAAACCCAGTAACCCGCTATGCAGGAACTCAGACCCGGGGGGTGGCAGTGATGAAGATGGCAAAATTCCTGCCCTCATGGAGCAGACATTCTAGCAGGAGAAAGAGCGAGGAACGAGATGAGTAAATGGGTTATCTATCTCATGTGACAGAAGGAGATGACATTATGGAAAAGAATAAAGGAAGGAAAGGGGCTCTGCGATTTTATATAGGCAAATCAAGGAGGCCCCCGTTGAGAGGCGATCTGAAGAATTTCTTTGGATTAGTGTCAGTTTCAAAAAGAAGACCTAAAAGAGCCACATGCATCTCTGGTGACAGAGTGTTCCAAGCAGTGGGAACGGCAGGTGCAAAGGCCCTGAGGCAGGAGTGTTCTCAATGCAGGGAGGAGGCCCACTTGGCTGAAGCAGAGAGAGTGAGGAGGAGATGACGTCTAAGAGGTGGCAAGGACAAAAATGGCACACAGCCTTGTGGGAGAACTTAGGCCTTTATCTGAGTGCAGACACATCGGGGTCTTTCCAGCCTCAGCACTTCTCTGGCTCCTCATTTGCATCTTGGCGTGAATGGGGCTTTCCTAAGCTCTGCTGCCACCCCCATCCGCTCTTCATCCTGATAGCTTTTTCCCTTTCCAGTCCAAGCTGTAACGCCAGCTCGGTTACAGACGCACAGCCTAGCAGCCCCCATCAGAACGCCCATCAGTCCGCTTCTACTGGGCACATTCAGAACTTCTGCCTGCTCTGTTCACCTCTGACTCCCCGGCAGCTGGGACAGGGAGTGACACATAGTAGGTGCTCCCTAACTACTATTGGCTAAAATGGTGATGGGAGGAAGGAAGCATGAACAGCGGCCCTAAGCCGAGCAAAAAAAGCCTGGAGGGCTCCCAGGTAGAGGCGCCGGGAATGTGGCTGAACCTACCTTCACGCAGGGCACGTACACGGGGTTGAGAGTCTCGCCGCCCAGTCTCACAGGCACCAGGATGACCACAGACTTCCACTCGGCTGTGGGGTCTGGCCTGGCCACCAGGCGCGCCACATCTGCCTTGTACACTGGAGACACAGGGCAGTGGCAAGTCACCTTCTCGCCTACCCTGCAAGACCCAGAGTGTGGCCCTCCAACCCCAGGGGCCCAACCTTGCCCTTGCAAACTCTTGTCAAGCAACACTGTCACTGTCAGCAAAGGTCTTTCTGGTGTCTCTAAAATTCCTCATATGAGCACTGTGTTTTTCAACTGGGCCCGTTTTCCGCTCCCAGAGAAGCGGCATCAACCCTTTTTGGAGACACGGTTTTCTGAATAAGGAACCTCGTCCCCAAACACCTATAATTGTGCATAAAAATTTACAGGTTTTGTAGATTTCCTGATATTAACCCATGGAGACTCCCATCAATTAAGATCTTTTCTAAACTAATTTGGGGGTAGTTAGGAATAATAATAATAGCTTGTATTCAGTCAGCACTTACTATGTGGAAAGCACTGCTGTAAGGGTTTTACTTGTATTATTTTTTATTTATTTATTTTTTTAAGACATAGTCTCACTCTGTTGCCCAGGCTAGAGTGCCGAGGCATCAGCCTAGCTCACAGCAACCCCCAACTCCTGGGCTGAAGTGATCCTCCTGCCTCAGCCTCCCGAGAAGCCGGGACTACAGGCATGCGCCACCATGCCCGGCTAATTTTTCTATTTTTAGTAGAGACGGGGTCTCGCTCTTGCTCAAGCTGGTCTCAAACTCCTAACCTCAAGCGATCTTCTCGGCCTCCCACAGTGCTGGGATTACAGGCGTGAGCCACCATGCCTGGCCTACTTGTATTGACTCATTTAATCAACACAACAGCCCTATGAAGCAGAAGAGACCAGACTTTCAGACACGCTAGAACTGTTAGTAGAGTAAGAGTGAACGGGACCTTACGAGGCGGAGTGTGACCCTCATGAGCTTGGTTCCCAGCCGCTTACCTGTGCAGTCCTGAGAAACATACACCACCAGGTGGGTGACCTCGGAGCAGCTCTCCACAGCTTTCCTGGGGGCGGGAGGAAGGCCTGAGTTCCTGGGGGTACCCAGCGGCTCCCGTGCTCCCTGCAGCGGTCCTCACCTGAGGATGTGCGCCACCAGCGATGGCCCATACCAGTCACCCGCCTTCTTGCCTGAGCTCTGCCCAAGCTCCACTAGCTGGTGGAGGCCGAAGGGAGCCCGGGGGTGGTCAGCGAACCAGGACACAATCTGCCGGTGCCGGCGTTCTTGCTCCAGTTCAGGGGTGCCCTGGGTCCGGCGTGGGGGCATCCAGCGGGCAGGCCCATGGTACCGGCTGGGAGACGCCGAGCCTGACAGCTCAGGGGAACCCAGGCCCTCGGTCCAGGTCCAGTCTGGTAGGGAGGGAGTACAAAGTCAGACGGTGCTAGTGTACAGGACACAGTTCCCATTTATGCATGCATTGTACACAACTCTAATGTTCCAGAACCCCACGGTTAACTACAATTTGCACAGTCCTGACACTCTTATTTTATAAACTCTCACTCTCCCCCCCAAATTACTCGACACACAATTCCAATGACACACAATTCCAATGTGACTTTGAATTCCGTTTGCAAATAATTCTAACACTGCTGACGTGTGGTTGGCCCTGTACTCCTAGTGTGCCCCTTCCCCCCAGCACCACTCACCTCGGGGCAGGAAATGCAGCAGCAAGCCCTGCGCCAGCATCATCTGCCCGCTGCGTAACATGCACCCCCAGCCGCAGTCTGAGGTCAGACAGCCCCCAGGGAGGGGCGGGAAGTCCCTGCGGTACGTGAACCACAGTCGGGACACGAAGTCCCGCTGGAAACGCTGGATGTCACCTACAAGAGCAGACTGTCACCTAGCTGCCACGAGCGACACACCCCCAGGGGGCCTCCCCCAACCCTGGTCCTGTCCCCCAGCTCACCCTCGCCCTCGAACCGGTAGCGGCGGCCACAGAGGTGGATGCTGGAGATCTTGCTAAAGCTCGTCCGGCTTTTAACTGCCCAACCTGAGGAGACGTGCCCAGCGGGATGAAGCACTTGCTTGACAGCAACAGCGCTTCCATTCACCCATCTGTGAAATGGGCAGGATCCTGGTTCCTATCTCAGGGGTGGCCCTGGGGCATCTGTGACTATCCCTCTGAGCAGGGAGGTGGGGCCCCTGGCAAGCGCCACACGCGTGTCTACCATCCACTCAACATAAACTGAGGCAGTTCTAATTATTGTACCCATTTTACAGAGAGGGGGGAAAATGGAGGCGCCTGGAAGCAAAGGATCTTGCCCAAGGTCACACGGGGGATGGGCGGGGCTTGAAAACACTCCCCATTCGACCTGCCCCAGGTCCACCCTGGGCCGGGCAGGTGACTCACGGGAAGGGAACATTCGGTGGAAAAGTCAGCAGGAACAGAGTCTGGTTTTCCTCGGAGCCTCCCCGTGCCCAGGACTTCCAAGCCCCCTCCTCACCATACTTGACGTTGTTCCAGGCTGTCAGGAACTTGGCTTTGAACTTGTCCACTTCGTCAGGCTCACCGGGGGCGACGCCGGGCGAGCCAAGAGCCGGGCCGCTGGCTCCGGAGGGCCCGAGGCCGTTGGGGTCCGGGCCTCGGGGGCCCCGCGGCCTGCGGGCCTCGGGCCGGCGCGCGTCCTCCGGGCTCCCGCTCCGGTACTGCGCGGCGGCGGGCGACACCGAGTTCATGGGCGCTCCGGGAGGGCGGACC